CGTGTAGCGAATTCCACACTTATTTCAACACAGAACCCTACTTTTTTTCTTTAAGAATAATGAAAGCTAACTCTATTGTACACTTATTATCTTCCAGAGACTACATTAAGTAAGAATACTTCATAATAACACTATAGAATAACACTAAGGTAGATTCTATTATCATTCCCATGGTAGCAGAGGAGATTTGCAGTAAAGCTCATGAAGCTTAAGTCTCAGGGGTTCTTACTTGCACAGGCCTCTTCCATGGTTCTACATCTAATTTTGTACCTGAAATTTTATATTTTTTTCTCTAAGAAAGCCACTATATTTCAGCTTCACCACGCTTTGCCACCCTGCCACCTGCATGAAATAGAAGGTCCATCGTACAGCCTGCCTGGCAAAGAAAAATAACAGGGAGAAAAGATCTGCATCAGCCTCTTGCATTTTGGGGATCAGGAAACCGGAATCTAGGGAGATTAAGTAACTCATTTGAAGTCACACCTTTGATGAGCCTCGTGGGCTGGGACTTGAGCCTTGGCCATCTGACTCCACGCCCTCATACAATCACTAGGCTATACTGCCTCTCTCCAGCTTGAGGTTATTATTTCCATAGTAGGCTAGTTTTAGAATCCATTTAGTAGACTAGGTAATGGGTCTTGGGGAAAAAAATGTGAATCTGCCTAAATACACCCATAGAAAGTTAAATAGCCACAGAAGAGTTTAAGAATAAAGCAAAACCAGTTCTGGGCCAGATGGCAAACTAAGCCCAGGCTGCCACCTCTTACCTCTGGACAGACCAGAGAGAGGTGGAAATTTGTGAAACCTAGTTTAGCAATGAAAATAAACCCTCTGAGTGGTCTTTAAGAATCTGAAGGTAGCTTAAGTCTCTATGTAGAGAGAAAATGGAGGTGAGGGTGGAGGGGAGGGCCAGGGGGCCACAACTTGGATATGGATTGAGGTAGAGAATGTGCTATGGTTTGAATGTGTCCCCCAAAAAGCATGTGTTGGAAATTTAATCCTCAATGCCACAGTGTCAGTATATGGGGCATTTAGGTCATGAGGGCTTCACCCTTGTAAAGTATAACAGGGATTGAGGCTGTGGGTTGCATCTCTCGCTGTCTCACTCGCATTCCCTTGCCCTCTTGCCTTTGGCCATGAGATGATGCAGCAAGGAGGACCTCACCGGATGTAGCCCCTCGATCTTGAACTTATCAGCCTTTTAGAGCCATGAGCCAATAAATTTCTGTTCATTATAAACTACCCAATATTAGGTATTCTGTTATTGTAGGATAACATGGATTTAGAGTGCTAATGACTCTAAGTCCATTTTCCTTTCTCCTCATTTTCCTGTGGGGATCCCAAAACTAGGATCCTATGATTGCAAATGGATGAGTTGTGATCATAGTCAGCCAAACTGGGGCCAGAGTGAGTATATACTTCTATTTAATGTTGAGAGTTTGACCAGGGCTTGAAGGTTTGTACAGAAATTCAAAACAGGGCATTTGGTGTGCACCAACACAAACACATGTATACACTGCACGAGCAGGAACCTCCCAGATCCAGAACATTGCCAATGACACTGATCTCACAGAAATGGAAGGGGTATCAACTGGGGGCAGCCACGTGGAAGAGGGATAGAGCCTGGATCCAGCGGGAGTGGGAAGTCAGAGGAGGCAGTGCCCACAGGTCCCTGACCATTTCCGCCATCCCTCATTCCCTGACCAGGGAAGGAGATCACAAAGAAAGGCATTTGCTCTGAGACACAAACAGTGTCTCTAGTGGAGGGATCAAGAATATCTCAGGGAAAAAGTGGACCCTTGAAAGGAAAAACAGGAAATAATGGAACCCAGATTAAGATACACACACTCTTCTCTCTCCTTCCTTCTCCCTCTCCTCTCCCTGTCCCTTTTTTTCTCTCCTTTACTCTCTCTCTCTCACAGACACACTCCCTATGAGAAACATAAGGCGAGGCTTAGGCTTTTGTTCAAGGTAAATGTCACTAATCAAGGCAGTTGATTGTGCCAAGGAATAAAGATGAGCTTCAAGTGAAAAATAATTGGATATCTAAGCTATATGAGCATTTTGAAATAAAGATAACACATTTGAACAAATTACAACAAAAATTTAACAATATCAATAGTTGAGAGAAAATTCTAAAAGTTTCCAGAGTCAAAAAGAAAAGAAAAGCAGGAATTTTTTAAAAGATCACATTAAAAAAATAAGAATGAGGCATTAGACTTTTCAATAGCAATACTAGTTAGGAGAAAATGGAATTATATTTTCAAAGTTTGGAAGGAAAATACATTCACTCTTAAAATCTTTTTTCCCCAGCTTAACTATAATTTAAATATAAGGAGAAATAAATATTTCAGAAAATTTATCATGGCATTCTTTTTGAAATAACTATTACATACCATACTCTAGGAAAAAGAGAGATGACTCCAGGAGCAGGCAGTGAGATATGATAAGTATGAATGAGTAAAAAACTGTAGACTTTATTATTGTCTAAATGAAAAATTATTACAAATAAAACACTTGATCTATATGAATCTGGAATTAAAATGCTAAGTGATACAAATAGGAAATTGGGGTAATAGATGTAGATAAAAGTGTGATAAAAGCCAGTTAAGATTATTGATTTGTTTGGGGGGAAAACAGGTATTTATAAGCTTTAGATATTTCCTCTGGTTTAGTAACTTAGGAGTAACCACCCGAAGACTAAAAGTAAATGAGTAACTTCCAAAACAGCAGAAGAACATTGATTATCCAATAGATAGTAGAAAAGGAGAAAAAGAAAAGGAAGAAAGCCTGGTGTCTTATCCCAGTTTCCTTCAGAAAAGAGAGACTGAATCAAGGTCTCCTATGCAGGCAGATTACTCTGGAATGAATCCCAAGGAATAGGAGTAGGGGACTGAGAAGGATGAAACCGGGAAGAAAAGCCAATATAAGGGTGCATTGTCAAGCTGATCACCATGGTCAGCAAGTGGAATTCAATCTACTAGGGACTTGTGAGGAGCCATGTAGAATTCACTTCAGAATTATCTACGAAAGGGATGGAAGAGAGAAATATTTATTCCATAGCTCCTATGCTTCACTGATCAAGGGTTAGTCATGGGGGTTAATTCCTCTGCACTTCTTGGTTTGCCCATATGTCATAATGGTGAGAGGTTCTTGCAGGTGTGCCAAGCAGTGGTAGCAGAGCTCTGGAGTAGAAACCAAGAGATCCAAAATACAGTTGAGACAATGTGTTTGTTGTTGGGTTATACCTGTATGTAGGTGGTCACTTCAGCAATGGCTGGACTAAAAAAATGTCCCAAAAGATGGCAATAATAATTGTAATGATAAACATGGTAAATTACCTCAACTCATCAGGTTAGAGAAATGCAGTACTATGTTATTTAAACTTTAAAAAGTGTAAATAAAAATATTAACATACATACACACACATATATATCATATATATATCTTGAGTGCCTTTTTTGAGATTCTTGCTGATTCTATTTAGTTGTTGCTCACTCAGTAACTGATATAAATAAATTAAGGACAACATCATGGATAAAATTTCAAAATACTTAGAATGGAATGAAAAGGCTGATCAAGAGAAAAAGGAAGAAAGATGTGAATAAACGATATAGTCAGTAAATAAGTGAAAATAACTAAATGAATGACAAATTTTTTAATTATGAAAGAATAGCACAAATTACTACAACTTAGTAAATTTGAAAAACTGGATGAAACAGAAACAAGTTTTAGGAAAAGATAAAATTTCAAAATTTTCCAAGATGAAAGAAAACTCCAATAGACTAATAGGACCTAAGGAAATAGAACAAGTTATTTAAAAAAAGAAAACCACCTAATACTGGTTGAGTTTAGACTATTTTACAGGTAAGGATCACAAGAAACCCTGAGACTCAATTAGTGAGAAAGCCACTCAATTTATTTTATAATGCTAGGATAGTCTTCGTACTAAACCTGATAAGGAGATGAGAAGAAAAGAAAATTATGGGCAATTTCACATATAAACATAGATGAAAAAGTCCTAAAAAATTAACTAAATCTGACATGCTATAAATAATGATATTAATAGTAACAATCACACATTACGATCATGTGGAGTTAATACCAGGAAGGCAAGGTCTAAAGGAGGAAAGCCATATGACCAGCTCAACAGCTGTAGAAAAAGAATTTGATAAAGTTCAACAACTATATATGATAAAAAGCTCTTCAAGAAGCATTCCCTTTACATTTGGCATTCAGGAAGAAGAGAGATACCTATAAGATGAGTAGATACCTACAAGTACACTCTAGGTCCTGGCCAATAAAAGACAAGCCCCAAAGTAAATAAATAAAAAGAAATAGGAAGTAAATATGAAATTAATGTATAAAAATCTGTAGTAGTTCCTCTTTCCGACAATTAGAGAATAAGACATCATTTATGGCAGTAACAAAAGCATTAATAAATCATCCTATATAAATCAACAATAAATATATAAGAAAAATATAAAATTCTATAAAGGTTACAAATAAGGCCTGAATAAATGGAGGAATATACCATGTTCTCATGCATAAGTGAGAAGAAAATAATGTATTTTATAATTATAGCAACATGAAGAAATTTAAAAACATAATGTTGAGTGAAATGACAAATTTATATAATATGTATAAAATTTATAAGCAAACACAAAAAACAATGCTATGTTTTTTAGGGTATACACATGCACATTCAGGCATGAACTCTGCTTCTTGATCTATCTATCTATCTATCTATCTATCTATCTATCTATCTATCTATCTATCTATCATCTATCTCATTTTAAGGACAAACATTAAAGACTGAGAGAAGCTTATTACTGCCTGCATAAGTGCCTTAAATGGCAACCTAGCTTGTCCTGAAAGACTTAATCTCTCTAAATACTTAGCTTAGTTTATCTAGGGTTGAAAGAGATGATGCTGGCACATTCTCTCAGTTAGAATGATAATAAAAATCCTCCAAATGCATTTACAGTGTAATATCATACCTCTACTTGGGTTTATTCATGCAATGTCACTTGATGGCTAATGGACACTGGCACTCTGAGGCTCAGTCTTCTACTTGAGATGGTGAACCACTCAGTAATTTGATTACCAGTATTGGGACTCAGCCAAGAGAAGGAATCTGATTTCATTTCTGGGGTGGAAAGAAGCAAAGTAAGAGAGACACCAACTCAAGTTTTGTTTTGATTTCAAAGTAGGCATTTTGATGAGATATTCAGGTCACCTGGCAGATCCCATTCACCTCTTAGTTTGTAATCTCCTGTGGTTACCAATCTCCCTGCTATGCCCACACATAGACCAGAATTTTCCCTGTGCTCTGAAGAGCTCTCTGCTCTCCTAGAGGCCTAAACTACCACTCTAGTGCAACATTAGAATAACCAATTTCCAATTCTCTACCAATTCCATTTAGAAAGATTAGGAGTCATAAAGAAATTGTTCTGATCTCACACCCTGTCTTTGAGGTTCAAAGAGCTTTGAGGTTAGCAGCTGGGGCTAAGCTGTCCACTTCACATTCGTGGTCTCTTCCTTATGGTAGACTTGTGGTGTGTAACAGACTAAGGATGTTTTCAAATGGTAAACACAGCATCAGTAAGTGCCAGCCTCATTAACAGCTATAAGACATGGCCAGAAGCATTTCATTCCCCAACTTTATCTTTCTAGGTATTACTGATTACTACGACATCATTTTGAGACCAGGCAAATCTATGATAATAAACAGTGATGTTATTTAAGAGATGTAATCATCCTGTATAAGACAAGAAACTAATTGGCTAATTTTTCTTATTATTCTGTTATCTACAACTGTACTTATTCAATAATATCATTATTATTTATTCTCTTTATTGAAACTGATTTCAACTTACATCTGTGTAGAGTCTGGGCTAAATCTAGGATTAGCTATTAGGAAAGGGCCTTTATGGAAGAACATACTTAATTCTCTCCCTGATGTCCAAGGAGGAAAGATAGTATTCCAACAGGATGAAGAGACCACTGTGGATCTGGATCTCTTTATTCTCTGTAAAACTTTGAATATAGTTCATGCCATGGGGATGCTTGCTAGTTTTTGAGATGATTTGCCACCTCACACTGTGGTATTTTGTCTGAAATGTTGTCAATTTTTAAGATAAAGAGAATTTTCAACGTATTACAATATAGTTTTACATTTCTTGGCCAAATGTACCCTCAGTATATGACACTTATGGGAGCAGAACGTACCACTGAGTGGTCCAGACATTCTGATGTTGGACTATTGCATTTCGCTGTGATTTTCTCCAGAGTGAGAGCCAGTGGTCTTCAAAATGTGGTTCCTGGCCCAGCAGCATCAATGTTACCTGGAAACTTTTGAAAAATACAAAGTCTCAGGCCCTACACCAGACTTACTGAATCAGAAGCTCTGGAGCTGAGATTAAGCAATTTCTATTTTATAAATACTCCAGATGATCCTGATACACACAAAAATTTGAAAGCCACTAACTTGTCTAGGCCAATCATACCCTCGAAATGTGGCACTTAGAGTAGCACTTAAGTGAACCAGATTTTCTGATGTTGAGCTATTTCATTTTGTTATATGAGCCCCATTTCCCTCGGACTCATAGGGTAAGTCCACACCCTAAAATTATAGGTCTCTTCAGAAGAAAATGGACAGTCCCATTTCAAGAACTCTAAGAAGAGGCAGATTCTGCTGGGATAGGCAATAGGGCCTTAGGAAGAAGATGCCTTAGTTTTCAGGTGGGTGGGGATTATTTTCTTCTCTCTGGGCCTAGTGATTATTTAGGTTTTTGGATTGGAAGGAAAGGTCTGTTCCTGCTTAAGGACAGAGTGTGCAAGTGGGGAAGAGGCCCCCTCCCTAGAGGCTGGCATATGGTGGAGCAACATGACCAGGCGAGGATCTGCTGGAGTCTGAAGCTCTTGAAAGAGACTGTCTACCTCATGCAGAGGGATCTGTCAGCATAAGCAGCAGCATGCAGGTCTGTGAAGGAAGGAGACTATGAATAGTTCTTGGGGCATCGTTAGAAACAAAGTTGAGAGTAGTACAGGGCTAAAGGCAGATTGATGGCTGCAAGCTTTGTAATGTTTGCGTTTTACCCACAGGCTGGCAAAACCTAGATGTGTCATTTACACTTGCTCAAGTGCTTTGTTACTACAAACTCCTTCACCCTCAGTGTGCTGACCTATAATTCTAACTCTTGATTGACTGGTTTTCCTACGTTTCACAATACACCTACCTTTTCCCTTGATTCTGGCATAATATTAATATACGCAAAATCAATGAGATTTGAAAGGCAGAAGACACAATATCACAGTTAAGTCAAGGATGTTACAGAAACATGCTTATTAATACATATTCTTTCTTCATTTCTCCCACTATATTATAAACCAGCACCTATGATGTAACAGAAAGAAAAAAAAGCAGAAATCCCACGTAGGAATTTTAAGAGGGATAGCTAGGTTTTGCCCTTCTGCAGTAAGAATTGGAGAAAGTCCAGCAAATTTCAGTTAGAGTCCCAGCCAACCTATTAGGCCTCTTCGACTTTTCTTTGAAATTTAATATTTAAGGTTTTTTAGAAGAAAATTTTCTTTTCATATATTAAATAAGAGCTTTATGAAATTTTGTTAAGAATTCTACGAAGTTCAGAAAACAAACAAACAGACAGGCAACAGAGCCTCTACTACCAGCTCCGTTGCTTGCTTTCTGTTCTTAACTTCTTAGTCTCCCATTCTGTTTCTGATCCCCATAGCCCACTCTTAGACACCTCTTATGCGTTTCTATCCAGGCTGCCAGACTAAGATCTTGTCTGAGACCGTCTCTTACTCATTGCCCCTGAGTCCAGTCACTTCAATCATTTCAGCATTCCTTTCTGGGGATTATCCAGATTCTACAGGGAGGGTTTGCCATCGAGGAACCAAGAAGAATTCCCAGCCAAATCACAGAGAATAACTTGTGGTCTTTCCAAACATTTTTACAGGAGATCTTTGATAGTAATAAATTTAACATTCTTTATGTAACTGGAAGTGATTATATTGGTTTATATATCTTTTTGAATTGTCATTATGTAAAATTTGGACAACTTCTCTCCAAATTTGTACATGGAGCAGAAATTGTGTCATCAAAAGGGATTAGGGGCACATGTACTCGATTATCTGTAAAGGCAGCTGGCTTTGTTAACTTGGGCAAGTTACTTAATTTCTAGAAGTCCCAGTTTCTTCATCCATAATATGAAGGCATTGAACTCTGATCTTTAATAATTTTTGAAATCTTGGAAGTCCAAACATAAGACATTTTTGATGCTGTAAAGTTCTATTATTTGATCTGTTCTTCTGCATCACTTCACATTGTCTAGTGCAGTTCCTGTGCACAGAAGAGCAACAAATGTTACTGGATGACCATGTTTCCAAAACTGTGTCCTGGCATGGATTTCTCCAGACACCCACACCTGACTTTGTGTGACTCCAGTCTTTCAGCAGTGCACTTCTGGAACAAGCAGTACTCACGCTGCTGAAGGATGAGGCTGGACATCATCCTGAAATCAAATAGACTCATCTAAATAGCCGGTTCCTATTGGCAAACCAGCCTGATTCTACATTTCTCAAACTAAAACTCCATTTAACTTCCTTCTCCAACTTGAAGTGCTGAGAACAAGTACATGGATGAATGAAAAGACAAAATCAAATAATGAATGAGAAGTTTAATGAAAACTTCTTTTAAATAATTGCCTATTTTGTGCCAGATTTTCTGTTACGTACTTTGAAGATCTTTTAAAACTTACTATCTAACAGCCCAGTGAAGTATTATTGTTCCCATTTTACAGATGAAGACATAGTTTCAGAGAAATTTGGTGGCTTGCCAAAGGTCTCACACCTAGTAAATATCAGAATCAATTAGAAAGCCAGTTCAGTCTGAATGCTCTTTCCATTACATCACTATGCCTCTCACATTTTAGATACAAGTAATACACATTTAATATGAAAATGCAGAAGCATAATAGCACAGACATTTGAGTAAGAAGAACATTGTTCCATATAAAAATGGCCCTTCTCCTCAGTACACCTAGATGTGGCCCGCAGAGTTGCCAAAGGTTACTTGGCTGTCTCTAATTTCAACCCTTCTCTCTCCAGCTTATGTTTCTTGCTGGCAGAATAGCAGGATCTAGGAATAGAATCTCCTCAGTTGGGTGAATTTAAGCTGTTCCTCAGTGATGGTCACTACTTAACATTACCACAATACAAAACACACTTCTTGAGTTGCTGGACAATTGTTTATCCTAAATCCTAATGAGAAAATATGTTTTGGTGAACTATTAGTACTTTTCTTTTTTTAGATTTTGAGACAAAGAATATAGTCAAGGCCAGGTGTGGTGGTTTATGCCTGTAATCCTAGCACTTTGAGATGCTGAGGCTGGAGGAATGCTTGAGGCCAGGAGTTTGAGACCAGCCTGAGCAACATAGTGAGACCCCATCTCTACAAAAAATAGAAAAATTAGCCAGATGTGGTGGTGCATGCCTATAGTCCTGGCTCCTTGGGAGGCTGAGGCAGGAGGATCGCTTGAGCCCAGGAGTTTGAGATTGCAGTAAGCTATGATGATGCCATTGCACTCTAGCCTGGAAAATGGACTGAGACGCTGTCTCAAAAAAACCCCAAAAAACAAAAAAGGAATATAGTCACATAACAGCTTTTGTTGACTCTGTTGAATTTCCTGGATATTTAGGATTATGATTGCTATAACATACCTCAGTTGGACTATGGCTAGGATTTGTACAGACAAGAATTAATCTAGATCAAAGAATTAAAGGCCTCATGGTTGCCAAATTAAGAATCATCTAGGAATCTAGATAATAGGTATAAGGAGAGAAGCCTGAAAGTTTTAAGACTACCAATGGTTAAGAGTGGAAAACGAGAACAGGGAAGTCAGCAGAGGTAGGATAGGGCCAACAGATACTGGACAAGCAGGATTAGGATTATAATGGGTATTTGTACATAATGGCCCAGATGGTTAGAAATGTAGGTAGCAGATTTTCCTAGGGTAAAGACTAGAGCAACTCAGTAAAACTGAATATATTTTATAAGGCTGGGATTATATTTGGAATACATAAACCGGCAACCTCCAGTGACAAAATTTTCAGATATCTTTGAGTCTCAATGCCCTTTAGGTAGCTTAGAATAGGTACCACAGAGGCACACTAGGCCAGTTAGATGTAAGCATAAAAATAAAAATACTGTTAAATCCTATTATAATGTATCTATAATTTCAATTATTATTATGTTTCTTATTATATACCTCATAAATAACAAACATAATATATACACTTGCTCTTTTGCCATAGTTTTAAAAGTGTATAAGTTGGGTGCCAATCTTGTTACACAATATGAATATTGCAAGGAACTTCCTTTTGCCTACTTATGCTTCTTGCATTCATGCCTTTGTACTCATTCCAGTCCTCAGTCATTCATTTATCAGGCACTTATTTCCAGCACTTAATGTGTGTTAGAGATGAATAAAAGGAGGGCCTTGTCCCCAAGGAACTGTGTTTAGTGGGAAAAACAGATTCACAAACACAGATCCCAATACAGATCAGTGCTAGGGCAGAGCCACGTTTGACATTCGCTGGGATTTTAGAGACAGCAGAGACATGTATTACTAGGAAGCCCTGAGGGCCCTGCTGAGATTGGAGACAATGAACTTGCAGTGACATCAACTCTGCTGCCAGAGAAAAATCACAAAATACATTAATTCAGGTAAAGAAGCAAAGAAATCGAGTGGATTATTTTAGACCCAGAGATTTGCATGGCTGTAGGATAGGAAAAAAGGGGGGTGATAGTGAGATTTAGGGTACTTTTTAAGAAAGCTCAGTCTAAACTAGCAAGGTAAGAAAGAAAGCTAAAAGAGGTCTGGGGAGAGTTTGTAAATTAGAAGAAAACATGAGGAATCAAAGAAATCAGGAGTCTCAATGAGATTTTAAAGCAGGAATTGAGGAAGACAGTGAATTAGCACTGTGGTTCAATAAAGCAATCAGCCAACAATTGGGATATTCATACAATTTATTACTCAAATTAGATGAAGAAGACTGAAAGAGACTACTAATTACTTGAGGCAGCAGGTGTAAGCTCGGATGACCCCAGGTGTATAGCTGCCTTGTCAATATTCCACGTGCTGAACACTGCGCTAGGCACTGTGTATAGTGTGGGAAACAGGCAGGAACAGTGCCTGCCATTATGGGGTTTACCCTCACTCAGCAAAGATGCACACTGAACAGAAATCATAACTGAGATGAGTGTTACTAAAAAGAGAGGTGAAGAAGCCATGGGAGTTCGTAACAGAGGAAGTCAACATCTCAGAGGG